ACTGGGGTGGTGAGTGTGTGCTGGCCTGGTGCAGGGAGGTCATCGCTTCTGGTTGTCGTGGTGGTGGTGATCAGCAGAGGGTGAGCCTGGGTGGGTGCTGTGTGCTGAGCCTTGTTACAGAAGATCTGTCAGAGCCCTAACAGAGTAGAGATGAAAAAGCTGCCAGGCCCACGTGCTCCTCTCCCAGTTCGTCAGGAAGCCGGGCTCTCCACGCCTTTGCCTCCCCCAACAGCCTTGGAAGGGGGGGAGCACACGGATCCTGGGGGTGTGGAGACACACGGAGCCCCCGGTGCACCCCAGCCAGGGGTAGTGTAGCATCGAGCAGCTCTGCTGTGTTTAACGTGTGCCTGCCTGCTCTTGCAGAGCCCGTGCACCATCACCCTGTGTGTCCACCCCCAGCAGTGGGCACAGCTTGTGTGGGCACCTGTGAAGGACCTGGGGAAGTGGGTACAGTTGTCCCCAGCCCTGCTGCACCCCCCTGCGTGACGGTGCACACCCCTGGGGCTGTGCATCACTTGCAGGCAGCTGCAAACAGCTGCTCCTGGGCAAATGGGCAGCAATAAAGAGGGAAGAAGAGCTGATGTGGGGGGGAACCAAGGCTGCAGTGCTGCTGTGCCTGGTGCCTTCAGCTGCACAGAGCCGATCGTGTAACTCCAGTGGGCTCAGGGTCTGCGCAGGAGCCCCTTGTCCTCCTGGGCTGGTCACCCTGCGCTGGGCAATGGGTGCTCCTTGGGTACACCTGGCCGTGGTGAGCACTGGTCCTTGCAGCTGGGGGTAGGAACCTGGTCGTGATCAGGTGTTGGCCCTGCTCCAGCACCCACCGAGCAGCCGCTGCACGGTGAGGGTGAGGATGCAGAGAGGAGAGGGGCTCATCTTCCAGCTGCTGGGGAGGGAGAGTTGAGCAGTGCCAGCTGTGGGGCTGCTTGTCACCTAAAGTTCTGTCTCTTCTTGCTTTTCAGGGCAGTAAACGGCTTTGATCAAGGTCCCCCCGGACTGGGAGGGTCCCGACCATCCTCAGCGCCTGGCATGCTCCCCCTGAGCGTATGAGCCTGCGGGAGGTCGTGTTCGGACTTGTGGATGCTTTTCTCGGCCCACCAAGAGAAGAACTGCTCCCAATTCCTCCCCATTCCGCCCTGCTGGAACACGACCCGCCCCGTGCTGCCAGAGGAGACCCTGAGCTCACGGCCCTCATGTCATGTTAATACATTTTATTGTGTCCCCCCCGTTGCTGTAGCGGGTGTGCTCTGACTTGGCCCCACGCCAGCAGTGCTCTCTGCCAGGGGATGCAGGGGTCCTGCACACCAAGCCTCATCCAGGTGGTCCATGGTGCCTTGCGTTATCTCTTCTCTTAGGTTTGGCATGACACAAGCATTGGCCACTCCTCTTGAAGGCACCCCTTGTCCCTGCCTGCCTGCTCCAGCAGCTGCTGTCCTCCCTGCAAGCCTCTGACCTCTGGAAAGGGGCCCTGGGTGAGGACAGTTGCAGCTGGGGACTAGGCCCTGTTAGGCGCCTCGGTTACTGCAGCTCAATAAATGACGGCCAGGCAGGCGCGTGGCTGTCACTGCTGGGGCACATCTGCCTCCCACCTCGTGCAGCAGGCAGGGGTGCTGAGCTCCTCCCAGCACCCGTATGGCCCCAGCTCCAGCTCTGGGTGCCTTGGGGATGCCACGGCTGAGCTGGGGCAGGGCAGGAGGCTGCAGGTGACCATCACAGCCCCAGCACACGTCCATCGCAACATCAGTTGTAGTGCGCGCAGAGCATGGGGCAGTGCCATGCAGAGCTGCTGCAGTGCAGAGGGGGTGCCCATGTGCCTGCAGCGCAGCTTCATGCCCTCCCTGCGCCCAGCAGCCCCACATCCACACAGGGACGCCGCGAGAGCCTTAGAAACCGCTACTGCAACTGGCTGCACTGCCCATGCATCCCCCCCGTACCCATTACAGCCCTGTTCCACTCTGTGTAAGTAGGACTGGATTTTACAGCATCACCTGCGGGCTTCTGTGACAGTTTTGGGCAGCTGTGTACCTTGTGGGTCTTTCAAGCAACGTATTTGTGCGATTTCTGTCTATGTGCCTCCAAGTTGGTGGACTTTAAAATGAACCAGCAAACCCAGCCGGGGTTTGAGCTGTGGGTTCAGAAAGCAGCGTCGCAGTTGGGTCCATGCCATCAGTTGCTCTGCAGCTCTGAGTTCGTGTATTGACAAGCGCTGAGAAAACAAACCATTGGCCCCAGCAGAAGGGAGGTGGGAAGCTCCCCCTTGCCGTTAGGGTTTGTGTGGTCCTTTCCTGTGCATCCTCTGCTGCATTTGACTGTTTACATTTGTTTTATTGTACATAGGTTTGTAAACATAATATCTTTGCCTAAGATCTTTGTACATAACTTGGGCTTTGTAGCTTTATTTATTCAAAATCTCTATGGCATGTTTCAATAGGACAGTGTACCATACCACCGTGGTGACACAGCTCATGATGTGGGTTAAATAAAAGCAAATGAGAGTAATCTTTCAAAAAAATAAAAGTTCTTTTAATGTGAAATCAGTGGATTTTGCAGAAACTGTGGCAGTGGCTGTACTCTGTCATGTAGCCAGGGGCTGGTCCAGAGGTGCTGCTCTGCAGGGCTGGAATGCTGCTTTGGTTCCATCCAAGCACACGGGGAGCAGCTGGGGCTGAGCAAATGCCTCTCCATGCTGCAGCCTCTGCTCCTGCCACTGGAAGTCCTGGTGGCTCAGCCAAGTCCTAGGATTCAAGACTGGATTTTAGAAAGAGCTGGGACAGCGTTGGAGGCTTCCAGCTGCAGCAGCCAGAGATTTTTGCCTCTTCCTCAGAGCTTCCCTTCCACCTTGTGCCCAGGGGGCCTGACAGGGCTGTGGCAGCCCCCAGGGCCTGTGCCCAGTCCTGGCTGTTTCTGCAGCACCCTCAGCTTGGCCTGAAGCAGTCACTTCTCAGCACCACACAGCGACCCCCACCCTGGGGCAGCTGCTCCAGCACCCAGAGGCCACTGCGCCAGCACCCACTGAGGCCACGAGGCACGGTTTGCTGGGGCAGCAGGTCACCCACAGTGCAGTGACCCCTCCTGCCACCGTTGAAGACCCCAGGGCACAGTGACTTCCTGCGCTGAGCCGAGCCCTGCACCAGCTCTGCTGCCAGGACAGGGAAGAGCCCTCCCACCTCCTCTCTGCTCTTCCCAGCAGGAGAAGCCACCACAGCACAGGAGGAGGGCG